GCACCGTGCGATGGCGCAGCCGCGCGGCGAGGCGCCTCACAGACCCTCGCGGACCAGGGACCCCCGAGAGGAGCCCAGCTCTCCGATGTGCTGCCTCTCCTCCCCCTCCTCCTCCTTCTCCTCCTCCTCCTCCTCCTCCTCCCCTCCTCATCCTCCTCCCCCTCCTCCTCCTCCTCCCCCTCCTCCCCCTCTTCCTCCCCCTTGTCCTTCTCGTAGTCGTCAGTCGTAGTTCTTCCACCCCCATGGAAGTTATCTGGGGCCCGCGCGAGGCTCCGTCTCTACGCGACGTGAAAACGACCACAGCCACTGCTTTTCTTGTGTTGCCGCCATCCAGCCAGCAGGAACCAAGCAGTGGCTGTGGTCATCTTCGCTGAGCTTGGCACCAGGGAAAGGACCACCACCACCGCTTCTTTCCCGGCCGGCCGGAAGGCGGCGCAAACAAGAAGCAGTGGCTGTGGTCATTTTCCCGTCCCACACTCTCCTCAGCCTGGGTGCTCTGCGGTGAGGCTTCTCAGAATTCCGAGGCCACCACGCGGTCCTTCACCTCGCGGACCCGGCACCCCCGAGACGAGCCCCAGCTCTCCGACGAGCTGCCTGCTCTCAGCCCGGGTGCTCGCCCTCGACCTCGGCCTCCTCGGACCAGTCCTCAGGAGGGGAAACACACACAGACACAATTAATCGTCGATTCCCCAGAAAATATAAGAAAATATGGGAAGTGGGGGGGAAGACAAAAACCCAGAACATATGGGAAAATATGGGGGTTATGTTTACTTGTGTGTATTTCGTTGTGTGTCCCAGTTCCCCTTCAAGTCCGGCGGGCCCCGGGGCGAGGCAGCGGCCCCGGGGGAGGGATCGGGGCCTTCGGGGGCCCGGCACTGCTCGGGGGCGGAGAAGAGGGGGGTGATGACTAGGGGGGGTGGATATCATGGCGTGGGCCATGATATCTCCCCATGTTTCCTGGCGCCTCCTCTTATTGAATCGCTTCGCTCATTCCGCCGGCCCGTGATATGGCATCGCTGGTTTTTGTCTGTGTGTTCGTTGCCCATGTTGCGCTCTTGGGGGCGGGTGTCGTTCGGACGCGTTGCGTGGGGAGTTTTGATGGTGAAGCAGTTCCCTGGGGGTCGTCTCTCGATGGGGCGAAATAGAGTCGTCGTCAAGATGCTTCTTTGGGGGGCCTCTTGGGGTCTGTTGAGAGGCCGTTCGGGGGCGCCTGGGAGACATGTTTGAAGCCTTCTGGGGCTTCTTTTGGGCCTCCTGGGAGTCTCCTGGGGCCTCTTGGCGACATCTTGGGGCCTCTTGGAGGCCTCTTGGGGCCTCTTTGGGACCTCCTGGGCGCCTTCTGGGACGGAGGGCTCCATTTTTGAGTTCTCGGTATCCCTCCTGAGTCCCTCTTGGGCCCGTCTTGGGGCCTCTTGGTCCGTCTTGGGCGGCACTTGGGCCGTCTTGAGGGCTCTCTTGGGTCGTTTCGGCGCCGTCTTGGGAGCTTCGTGGGCCGTCTTGGAGCGGTCTTGGGGGCCTCTTGGGCCGTCTTGGAGCGTCCGGAAGCCGAAAAAGCCAGAACACAAAAAACATCGAAAAAACAATGAAAATCAACGATTTTGGCCTCTTGGGGCTCTCTTCGGAGGCCTCTTGGAAGGCTCTTGGGGCGTCTTGGAGGCCTCTTGGGCTGTCTTGGGGGCCTTTTGGGCCGTCTTGGGGTCATCTTCGGCGTCTTCGAGCGCTCTTTGGGCGTCTCGGGGGCCTCTTGGGCAGTCTTGGGGGCCTCTTGGGGCACTCTGAGCGCGCTCTGGGGAGCCTGAGAGGCCGCACCCAGAAGGAAAACCATCTCTGAGTAGACTTGGTCGGGCGGCGGTCGGGCGGCGACCGGGTGGCGACCGGGCGTTGGTCGGGGTACTTTTCGCCGGGGGACCCCCAGGGGCCGCCCCGCGCGCGCGAACTAGAAATATTGTTAATACTGTTACCCAGTTACCGGAGATCTTAGCACGCCCTGGCCCGTTGGGCCGTATCTCCCCATGTTTCCTGGCGCCTCCTCTTATTTCATTACGTCCCTGGCCCCCCCGCCGGGCCGCGCACCCCCCCCCTCTTGGACGCCCCCCTCTTGGCCGCTCCCGAACTGCAAAGATCAGGTCCACCGGTGTCAGGGAGCATCACCGAGCGCGTTCCACGACTCGCAAAGTGTCTACCCGCAAGTGTCCGAAGAAAAAAACAAGCCTTCCTCCCTATGTCATGTATCGTAAGTCCCCCACGGCGTGTCCGGGCCGTTTGCAAGTGTTAACTCTGCGAGTATCAGAGCGTGAATTACCTACCCCGCTTTCGCTTCCAGGCAAAACCAAGTCATACCACGCGCCTCCTCGTCAAGCGGCCTGACCAGTGCAGGCCGTAGTTTGGCATCGCTTGGTATCTCTTGGAAGCGAGGGTGGTCAAAATCGAGGTAGGTTTGTTTGCCCCCTAGTATCGTAAATCCCCCACGGCGTGTCCAGGCCGTTTGCACGTGGCAACTCTGCGAGTAGTGCGGAACGCGCTCGTCCAGAGCAGGGGCCGCCGCCCCCAGAATGGGGGAACGAGCAGTGGCATATAAACACACGAACTCGGAGGTCCTCGCGGATTTCTCGTTCTGAGCCTGTTTTTTTCGTGGATTCGGGCAAGTTTACTTGCATGGCGTTCGCCCCCCCCCCCCCCCCCCCCCTCGCCCCTCTTCGAGCGAATACTAGCGTGCAAGTGCCTTTCGACGTGCGTGATTTCCGCGCCCCCCCCTCCCCCAGGCTTGCTTCAGGCTCAGCCCCCCCCCCGTCCATGCAAGTAAACTTGCCAGAGTCTAAAAAAAACAGGTTCTCTCGGATCGGCGCCGGACCGCCCTGGCGGCGCCTCCGGCGCCGCCCTTGGCGCAGATCCAGGAAATCTGCGCGGACCTCTGAGGTTTTGGATGTTTACGGCCACTGTTCTTTTTCTAACCAAAAGCCCATCTGTCACCAGGCGCGCTCCACCCCTCGCAAAGTGCCTGCTTACTCGCAGACGTTCAAGTAAAAGCCATGTTCGCCTCGATGTAGTGGGTCGTAGATCCTCCTTGGTCCTTGGCGGAGCCAGGCCATTTGTGAGTAGCTACTTCTTGCGAGTAGTGCAACGCGCTTGTCGAATCGGGGGGGGGGATCTGGGCGGTGGCACGCCCGAGCGTCACCCAAGACCGGACGGCGCTCGGGCGGTGCCACCGACCAGGGGTGGGCCGCCCCCGATGGGGTTCTCAGCAGCGGTGGTCTCTGTTTCTCTTCTGCCGCGGAGGATATGGTGCGATCAAAAGGGGCACGGTGGATCGAAGCGACGGCGACGGCGACGGCGACGGCGGCTGCGACGGCGACGGCGACTGCGATGGCGAGGGCGACCAGATCAGACCAGAGCAGACCAGAGAGCCAAGTCTACCTGTCGGCAACCGACGTGAGGGATGCTGTGCAGCCGACATGGGCACGGTGAATCGAATCGGGGACGAAGACCAACGGCAGTTCCTGACCGTTTCGGTCTGGCATCGCTGTCGGCGCGACCGCGGGTTGTGTCCGTTTGCGACGCAACTCAGGCGCAGCGGTAGGGGGGGAATCAAAGCTCAGGGGGGATGCATCGACCTCCCATCGCCCATTGATCGCTGGTAGGGGCTTCATAGCCCACCCCGCGCAGGACATTGCGGATTTGCTTTGGGATGCTTGTCGCCGATCCATCGGCAATGCATCGCCGAGTCCTGGTCGATGTTTCCACCCCTGAGCTTTTCTCCCCCATCGTTGCCCCTCAAAAACATCGCGTCTCATGCCCAACAGCAGCCGCTGTGGGTTCGGGACAACTCTGCTGTTAGGCGTCGTACAGCCGGCCCTGATTGGCAGGTCGACCCTGCCAAATCGAGGGTAACCTCACGTATGTCAAGTCTTTCGAGACCCGTGCCTTTTATATTCATATGGCAATGTAGCTTTTGGAAGGGTCTTGTGTCCTCTCGCGTATCCCATGCGATCGCAAACATGAATCAAGTGGGCGTGGATTAGCGACGGGCCCCGTTTCCGTGGGAAATCGCGAAGTTCCGCCGCCGAGCGAGGCGGCACCGGCCGCATTTTGGGGAGGGCGCCTCCCCCGATCTATGGATTTGGCGACCGCGCGCCAAATCCATGGATCGTTAGTCCATGTTTGCGCGCCCCCGATCTTAGCCCGTGGTGCGCCCAACTTTCCTCGCTCTCTTGGATCAGCGGGCGTGTTCCACGACTCGCAAAGCGCCTACTCGCAGCAAGCGTCAGGAGAAAACACATGTCTGCCTCGCTGTAATGGATCGTAAACCTCCCCCGCCGCGGATCCAGGCCACTTGCGAGTGGTAACTTAGCGAGTGGTGGAACGCGCTTGTCTATTGGAGCCTCCGATGTGCACCGTGGCCCGCTGGAAGGATGCTCTGGAGGCCGCCTGGGTGGCCGTTGCAAAGCTGGGGCCAACTCGGGCCAGGATCACCCGGCAGCACCCGGCACGAGGATGGCTGAGGAGGAGGATCGAGGATCGGGGATCCAGGCGTCGGCAGGGGATTTAGCAGACGAAGGACTGTCACAGATGAACTTTCGGGTAGTTAGTCCTGGGACAGGTACCCACCAAAGTTGAGGAGCTCATTTCACATCATCTTCGTCTACAAAGGAATTTTGGGGTGGGGTGGGTTGGGTGGATCGGGGGAGAAGAGGAGCCAGAGGATGGAGGACTGGGAGGAGGAGGAGGAGGAGGAGGAGGAGGAGGAGGAGGAGGAGGAAGAGGAGAAGGCAGACGGAGGATAATGATTAACATGTTTGCAGCTTTCGCGATTAGATATGTGCGCATAAAGCTGCAATCATCCGCTGAGTGCCACCGCGGCCACGAGGAGAATGACGGGACCTGCCAGCGACCTGATGTGATTCAGAAGCGAAGTTTGGGCGCCAGAGGTGTCCACCTTAATTCCAGTAAGAGAACCTCCTAGAGGACGACAAAATGGACCAGACATCGCCAGCCGTGTTCAGGTCATCTTCTTTCTCCAGAGGGCCTCGCTCGCGTTGAGAAGCACCGCCCCGACGCGTACGACCACGACAGCAGCTCAATACCGCATCGAGGCAATCTTTCACATGTTGAGCGCTCATGCTATTTTGTACAGCACGGCGCACGACACATTTTATTTGGCAGCCGGACGAGCCAGGAGCGGAGGCGTGCGCGATGTGCGGAGGGCAGCCGTGCAAGCCCGGCCAATCCGCGGGAGGCCGCGCGGCGCCGACCCGCACGAGGCTTGCCGAGCCAGCGGCACGGACTGACTCAAGCAGTGGCGAGGCGTCCTGGCTCGCCTACAGCCCTACCAAGCAATGCTCCAAGAACCGTTTGTGGTTTCGCCGAAATGCTCTTAGAAAATTTCTGGCTGGGACGGTCTTGTTTTACCCCACTGGGAAACATGTTCTAAGAGCATTGTTTTTGTTCTAAGAACATGTTTGGGTTCTAGAACATTCCGTGGTAGGACTACAGGAATGCCGGGACGGTCGGTCCCTGCTCAACTGACTGGCATCAGTTCACCAGAGCATCCATATCACAGAAAACCGAAAAAGACAACGGCATGAGCACCAACTTTCGGAACTCCTCGCGGACTTCCAGACCGGCGCAGGGGGGGGTCCAATGCAGATGCAAGAACAATTCGCGTGGGCGTGGAACAACTTCTGCTTGTGTAGTTTGTTCTTCCTCCAGAGTGAGCTGAGGGCCCCTTCAGGAACGCGCGTCGGGGCACTGTCTTCTGAGCGGCGCGTGCAGCATATGCCCAGAACGTATGTGTCGAAGACGGGCTCCCAGTGCAGTCCAGGGCTGGACCTGATTGGTGTTTTTGGTGAGTTCGTGGGTCGTTTTCGTTTCAACTGCGTCTTGCGGTAAAGGTGGATTCGAGACAGAAGCGAGGGAAAACGAAAACAAAGCGAAAACGAAAAACACCGTTTAGGTTCAGCCCTGGTGCAGTCAGCCCCGCGGTGCTTTTCGCCCAGCTTTGGCGACGCTTGCCAGAACGAGGACGAGGCTCAGCCCTCGGACGTGCTCCGGTGCGCCCCGTGGCGGCACGCGTGATCCGGACTCGCCCCGAGGCCGCAGCGGTTGCAGGGAGCTTCGAGGCCTCGAGTCGCCTGTGCTGGAGAGGTGGAGGATGAGGAGGGGCGAGGGCGGCGGCGGGCGAGGGATGAGGAGCAGGACGAGGAGGAGGAGGAGGAGGAGGAGGAGGAGGAGGAGGAGGACGAGGACGAGGACGAGGAGGAGGAGGAGGAGCGACGAGGGCAGAGAGAGGGCGAGGAAAGGTGAGGGCGACGGAGGACGAGGCAGGGTGGGGCGTGCGGAGGTCGGGCGAGGAAGCACGAGGGCCAGGGCAGACGAGGCGGCGCGGTTGTGGAGGGAGAGGGGGCACGGAGGACGAGGAAGGGCGACGGGCAGGAGGACGAGGATGAGGACAGCACAACCCACCCCCACCCCCACCCAGGGCACCCACCTCCGACCTGGTGATCCAGGGTGCCCTGGGTGGGGGTGGGGGTGGGTTGTCAGAGCCGCGGGGCCCCAAAAACACCCACCCACCCCCACCCAGGGCACCCTGGATCACCAGGTCGGAGGTGGGTGCCCTGGGTCGGGGTGGGGGTGGGTTGTGCTGTCCTCAGAGGACAGCGAGGAGAGACGGGGAGGGAGAGGCGGAGCGGGAGGGGGAGAGCCTGACAGGGGTCGACGGAGTGGCACTGCTGCACGGCGCGCGCTGGGCCACTGGATGCACGACACAGGGTGACTTCGAGTATGGGGATCGACTGCAGAATTGATTTCTCCCAAAAATTCATTTCCTCGTCGAATCTTCAGACAAAGACTTAGCGCATGTTTCATGGATTCGACGAAATAAACAATTTTGGGGGTAAACGAATTCTGTAGTCGATCCCCTACTCGATGGCTGCGTGCATGCGGAGTGATGCTTGTGGGGCCATGCGACTGCCGCGTGCAAAAAGAGCGCAGCCACGATCCAGTGAGTCTGCAGGGGAACGAAGAATGACATTCATCATAACAACTCGGAGGTCTGCGCGGATTTCTCGGACCTGCGCTGGACTCCCCTCCTTGGCGCGCGGAGCGCGCTGGGGGCGGCGCTGGAGGCGCCGCCAGTGTGTCCAGCGCGGATCCGAGAAATCCGCGCGGACCTCCGAGTTGTTATGTTTAATGTCATTATTCGTTCCCCTAGTCTGGTCTCGGGCGCACGGATGTTTCAGTGTTCTGGACGTGCGGGTTCCGCCCCTTGCCAGGCGCGTGCAAGCTTTTGGATCGGTCAAAGCCAGCTGGATAGCCAAGCGAAGCTTGGTGGCCCTGTTTTCCACCACCACCACCTAAGTTGGAGGGGGGAAGGAGGAGGAGGAGGAGGAGGAGGAGGAGGACCTCATCCTCCCTTCTCCCCCGTCCTGCATATGGTAGTGGTGGTGGAACATTTGCCCATCAAAGCCGTCGACCTGTCACAGTTACTCACCGTTTTTCATAACTTGGGCCTCCGACTAGAGAGAAACGGAGGATGTCCTGGGGACCTCTGGTGACCAGCATGCGGGCGCAGGGCAGTGTTGCGCGCGCGTCGGAGCGATGCCCGCTCGTGCCGGCACTCGGCGGCGGCCGCCTCGTCCGTAAGAATGGGGGGGGCACGGCGTCGGAGGTGATGCGAGTCGCCTCGCGCGTTCCTCGGAGGTTGATAGACTTCCCTACCCTGACACGTCGATTAAGGAATTGGCCGTTCCGGGTTCGCGAGAGGGCGTCGCGGCCGTCATCTTTGCGGGTCCAGGTCCGTCGGTTTCGGTATTGGGCCGTTTTCACTGAGGGGAGCTTTATTAAAAGGAGGTTTGTCCAGTGCCGAGTTCCACTACTCGCATCGCGCCTACCCTCAAACGTCCAAAACGCACATGCTCGCCCCGACGTCATAGATCGTACCTCCCCCGCGGCGAATCCAGGCAACTCGCGAGTGGTTTCTTTGCGAGGAGTGGAACGCGCTCGTGCAGCAATCATCTCTTGATTTACCCTTTTTTGTCTCTTCTGCCCACTTCCTTTGACCCTTCGCCCTCGCCGCCTCGTCCCCTCTCGTACCTGGCTCCCCTCGCTCTTCCCCCCCGTGCCTCCGCTGTTTCTGCTTTCCGTTGCTCACGGCTGTTGTTTTTGGTAGTCTTTGCGTGCCGCTGTGGTTCTGTACCGTGCCGTATCGGATCGGGGGAGCGTAAGACCCGGGTTTGCCAGGATTCGGGTTCGCCATCGTTGTTTGACGACCGCGCCTCGGATTTTGACGAGGAGGAGTTTCGTGGGAGTTCTGCAGCGGGAGGCCTCGTCAAAATGCAGGCTCGGCCTCGTCATTTTTGTTGACGACCTCGTCGGATATGTCCGAGTCCCCTGTACCCGGGTCGCATGTCCCCCTGATCGGAGGCCACCTTGATCTGCCTTCGTGCAGCCGCGGGGCCTCCTGGAGTCGCAGCCAGCGCCTCCTGGAGAATCGTACCTCCGTGGGCAGCGTCCTCCTGCGCCGGCCCGCGGCGGCCGGGCCCGCCACCGCTTCAAGGGGGGCGAGGCTGCCGGGAGGCAGGGTTGAGTCTAAGCTCGGGAGCCTCGAGACGGGGGTCAATGCAAACGGGGTTCAGCCAGAGCGCCCGATCTTGCAGGATCCTGCAGGGCCAGGGTCGCATTGACCCGGGTTTGGGTGCAGGATCTTGCAGGATCCTGCAGGATCCTTCGCATTGACCCGGGTTTAGGTGCAGGATCTTGCAGGAGTTTGCAGGCTTGATTGACCCGGGTCTGGATTGACCCGGGTCAGGAGAACCCCGATAAACCGTGTTTCTCGTTTGCGTTTTGTGTTCTTTGTCCCTCGCTTTGGTCCTCGATCCGCCTTTGCCGCAGGACGGAATCGGAACGAAAGCGGCCCACGAACTCGCCAAAAGCACCGCTCAGGTCCGGCCCTGCCAGGAGGCCCACGAGCCACCGAGAGTTGCGCAGCTCGTGGTTGCGCGTCCCCCTTCCCCCCTGCATGGCACCCCCGTGTGGGCCCCGTCCCCCAGCGGTGCAGAACCAGTCTGGACAGACCTGCGCACACTTCGGAAACCGGGGGGCCTGGGCGGAACTGTGGCCGGAACTGCAGCCGGAAGTGCGATAGGAAGCGCAGCCGGAATTTGTCGCCAGCGCTCGAGCGGGAGCCTCCAGCGGCGAGGAGGAGCCTGCCCAGCAAGCCTGCCTGCCACTGCGCCTGTGGAGTGCGCGTGCGGCCCTCCCAGGGGGCAGGCCTGTTCCACGGGCCCCTCCTGTCTCCTCGTCGGCCTGGCGCGCCCCCCCCCCAGCGCGCCCCCTCGGCGCAATATCCCGTTGGCGCACCCCCCACGGCGCGCCCCTCCAGCACGCCCCTTTGCCGCGCCCCCCGGCGAGGCCGCGGCGCGCGAGGCACGCCCCCCCGAAAGCGCGAGGCCCGGGGTGCGGGAGGGGGTGGAAGTCGCGGACCTGCGGGTGGAAGCGCGCGCCCTGACGGTGGGACAGTGGCCCAAGGCAGGAGTCTTGGGTGGAGTGCCTCTGCACACGCAGCGTGCGAAACGGACCCAAGCAGACTTCCCGACGGGGGGGTTATATTACGCGTGACCAGCTGCAGCTGGTTCCCAAAGAAAACGAAGGCGACGGCAGCAAACAATCTCGAAACAGTTGATATGTCGTTGTTGGGGTTCTAAAGCAAAATGATTTAAAAAGTGTTCGCCGCCCCCAGAGCGACACGGTCAAGCCCGTTTGTACTATTTGCGCCCCTCGTGTTTGACATGTTCGGTCCCGTTTTCGCATTTCAGGGCCTTCGTTCCGACGCCATGTTCTTGAAAATTAGTTTAAGTTTTTTCGGTACCATCCGCGAGTGATCGGCGCCCCGCGCACGAAACCCGTGGAGTAGAGTCGTCTAGATCAAAGAGAATACACGTTAATTTGTAGAGGGGGGAAGGGGGAAGAAAGTGAGGATGGAAGAGAAACGTGGTATAACGGAGGGGGGAGGTGGCGGGGGAGCGAGCGGGAATGACATTCGGAGGGAGAGGAGGAGGAGGAGGAGAAGGAGGCATGACCGCAGTCCGTCCGCCTCTTTGGCCTGGGGGGTCTAAAACGTTTCTTCCATTGACCTAGGCCGCTCAAGCCAAATGGATTTCGTCTATTTGATCAAGGCAACTCCCCCCCCTACGGTATACCCACTCCCGTCCGTATCCTCACTCTTTCGTTCGTATCATCTATATCCCCACTCTCCTTAAATGCGGGCACGCGTAGCCATTTGGGCTCATCCTCTTTTCGGGGCAATGAAGCACCCGTGCCGAGATGTCCGAAGGCACCTCGGACAGCCCACGGGATCAGGACGCTGCCTGGAGTGACGAGATTGCCACCGTGTGCGCCGACAGCAGCAGCGGCCCCCCTGCAGCCCGCAGCAGGCGTCCGCAGCAGGATCACTCGTCAGTTCTGCAGGCGGTGGCAGCGGGCGGCGGCGCAGTGCCAGACCAGCTCGGCGTGGCCCAGCCGCCGCGCGCAGCCAAGCGCCGCCTGAGCCAGTCTGCACGAGAGACGCTTGCGTCGATCACTCTCGCCGAGTCGGCGCCTGCAGAGACAGCCCGTCGGCGGGGTGCCAAGACGGCTCGAGACGCCAAGGCGGCGCGAGATCGGGCAGATCTTGCAAAGTACACTGCGCAGCTAGCCTTGGCCATCCGCCGTGAGACGAAGCAGGTTCCAGCAGAGTTGTTCGCCATTGCTCGCTATCCGACCCAGAGCCGATCGCAGCAGTGGCCGATGTCTATTGTTATATCACAGCTGCAGCAACGTGCCCAAACTTTGAACATCGCCCAGCACGCCGACTCCCCAGTCGCCAAGATTGCCCAACATTTCTTCGATCGTGGGAGCGGCATCGTCTTGACGAAGGAGGCCTTCAGCAATCTCATCGGCGTGGATGCGAGGAAGATTGGCCCATCAATTATCACGTTGGCTGAGGTCTTATTGTATGCTGACCGTTTGGCACGATCAATGTTGGAGACACGGTTGGCGTTGCTCGTGAGTAGTGAACGTTTAGTGGATATGATCGATTTCGACAGGCAAGACGAGACTCCGATGGCTGTGACTCGGCACGCGTGGCACCCCGCCCAGAACTCTGGACAACAGAATGCGATGATTGTTGCGGCCAGGAGCCACCAGTTCCTTGCGCACATGGAGAAGTCCCTCAAATGCATCTCGCGGGCACGGAAAACGATGCCGAAGATCCTCCAGTCAGAGTCTGTCTACGCGTACCGATTTATAGGCAATGGTGGTCCACATGATATAACTATTATTGGCGCTTGCGTGAACCCGCTTCAGATTCTGGACCGCACCACGGGCGAGTGCTTACGGGCGGCATGGCGGCACCGAACATCCTTGAAGCAGCGCGGCCATGTGAAGTTCAAAGCGCACGCGAGGAGCACGTGCGCCGACGCCGCTGGCGGCAATGATCGCTCTGAGCGTGCTGTCCTGTCGGATCTCGGGTGCGATTGGCGTCGCTTGCATTTCAAGTGCGACATCCACGCTGCAGTCAACAATTGCCACGACTCCATGTTTGTGTGCGACGACTTTATGAAGGCCCAGCGGAGATGGGCATCGAGCATCAATTTTGGTACTGGACTCACCATGTATGGGGAAGCTTTGGAGGAACTGGTTTTCGAACGGATCGACGTGCGCTACGGCCAGCCCCCAGACGAGCATAAAGCATACCGCAACTACGTCACGTGCCTATGTATGCGGAACGTTCCGAACCAGGTCGAGATGCTCATCGCAAGTAGAACGCTGCCAAATGGCAATTGGCGAAACCATGAGAAGGTCGAGGTGTACGTCCCGCTGGGCACCAACGCCGACCCACATGCGATTGCATCAGCCGTGGCGTGGAGCTTTAAGAGAATATTTGCAGGCACTCTGTTCACCAAGTACGTGAAATCTAAATGGAAGGGCGTGTCCAAGGCCTTGTCGCAGTTCGTGCTGCCGTTCGCTTGTTGCGGTCTGGGTGCCCCAGCGTGCGAGCGTTTCGCCGAGCGGGCTCGGGCGGTCAACGACAAGTGCATCGGGAGACCTGTCCAGGGAGCAGCTGCCGGAGGCGGTGGGGCCCCTGTGCTGGCCATCGAGGGCGGCGGCGGCCCTGCTGACGGCGGAGGCGGTGTGTGTGGCGGCGGCGCCCAGGACGGAGCCCACGGCGGTGTCGGCGAGCAGGCGAGCAAGGTCGACCAGGAGCGATCGCACAGGGAGGAGAACAATAAGGATATTGAGATTGGTTTGGAGTTGTCTCAGTCAGATCCTACTAGCAGGACGTTGATAACAATCCAAGTTGCTC